CTCATAACTTTTGACCAATTGCATATTATACAAACATATGTGTACCAATTTAAAGCTAGAGGCATTAGCTAACTATCAGTGAAGAACTAAATTGATTCCTTCATTTGGAAAAATTTTATCAAGAATTTAGTGAAGTAATCTTTTTTCGAGAAAAAAAAATATAGGCCTAGTTGTGGACCACCCTGAAAAATCCGCTTAAAATTAAAAAATGTGAAAGAAAATCACCACAAATAACGAGAAATTGGAAGTTTATTTATTTTAAGAGCCTACTGGCTTAAAGAGAAAGAAGGATGATACTTTTTAACATGAATCATCGTAGTCAGAGTCGCAGTGTTTGCATGTGAAGTAGCTGGCACGCATATTAGCGCACTTTAAATGCACAAGACGACTACATTCATTGCATTCGATGGAGTTTGCGGCGGTCAACTTCTTTGGCAGGAGGTGCAGACATCTCTTTCATCTTCCGAAAGAGCCTTGCTTCGCTTAGCTGCTGGTTTGCCTAATGATGCCTTCCGTCCACGCTTTTTCTGGGCAGAAACAGATGCCTGCTTCCTCAAGGAAGCAATACAGTGCGGCGAGGTAATCACGGAAATAGCGATTCAGGGTGCTGCGAGAAATGCCATATTCTTTAGCAGTAGCTTGTCCGACAAGCAACACTTAATGGCTTTCAACAGTGCAGTAAAATTCATTTCTTTTTTTTATGTGTCACATTCGAGAGGGTGCTCTGAGGTGATCTTGATTTAACCACTAGACCGATTTTGTTTACATTTTTTTTAAGCTTTGCATGAGAGAGAAGGGAATGCAATCTTATTCTAATGTAATCCTAAAGTAACGGTTAATGAGAATAGACCTATCCCACTCTAATACATAGGACGGGGTGCTAGATAATTATGATCTGCGCTTAAAAGCTTTGGCAGCTTCATAAGGTGCTTCTAGACGATGCAGTGACTGCATGAGAAGCTCTTATGTCTGTGAGGCTGCACGCTTTGTTCACACAGGAAAACGAAATACTATAATTTTTTGACAAAATTTACATACATTTTTTCGCACTTGAAAAATAATAAAATTTACTTTGAAGTTTTTTTTTCCCCCATTTTTTATTATTATGCTCACAGCACCTAGACCAAAGCAGCTATTTGTTTCGGTATTAGCACAATAACTGCGTATTGTTACCGAATATGACTCCCAATACTCAGATCAGAAGCATCTGCTTGCTGTCCAAGTTTTTGGGGGGTGGGTCACAACTAGTACCTGGTCCACAACAGGGCCCTCTCCCCTATTAATTAATAACTTTTAAACTAAGCAAGATTTTTCGATGCGGTTTTTTGATTAATGTTATGCACACCCCTAGAAACATTTTTGGAAAAGTGGGCGTGTTCCGCACACAAATTAAAAAAAAAATAATAATTTTAATAATATTAAAAAACTGAATAGCTATATTAATATTTATTGACTATAATACTCTTTAATACATAAAAATTAAGTTTTACTATTGGAAAAACTTCAGTTTGATGAAATTCAGGAGCTAAAGAAACCATAGTTAATATTAATAGAAATTTACATAATTTTTTCTTAATTCATCTTCGAAATCCTCAAAAGTTTGATCTGGGCCTTCAATTTCACATTATTAGAGGATTAACAAGTCGATGGGATAGGCAAGGTCTTTATGCTTGCTGCTTGAATCATCAAAAAGACATTGCACTCTTGAGTTTTCTATAGAGTTGCGGCATTTTTTTTAGCTCCTTCTGCTTTTAACAAGTAAGCCAACTTTGGATGACCAATTTGTCGATTATTGTTCCCATTTGATTCGCTTTTGTATAATTTTTTTGTGCTCATTAACTAATTTTAATGATGTTTTCAAAATTGTTTTTGTTCCGCATGCATTTTTTTCATTTTGCATTAAAATATTGGCAAAAATATGAGTTTTGCTCTGTAAATATAAAACATGTGTTAAAACATGAATGTTTTTATTTAATATCCTTGGTTGCGAATGAGTGGACTGTATTAATCTTTATGTATTTTTATTTGATTCATATGTAATATTAGTGGTTTAAATGTTATTTGCACAGCGGGTTATATACAAAGCGGGGGTGACAATAGCGGTGCGATGATGAATACGCGTGCGGGTACTCTCAAGTATAGTTTGGTACTGACTCAACTCCACCAATAAAGTCGAGCCCAAAAGGGAATTAGAAGATCACGCGATGCGACACTCCAATACCAAGACGGTGCACATCGATGTCTTCGTGTGCAGCTGCGCGTTTTGGCTATACGCGTGAGAATGTTACAGTTAAGTTTTTGGACATAAGCAATAAGAACAGCGGGCAAACAATCGCGAGCATATGATTAGGGCAACTCTTATATGAATGAATATTGACTTAAAACTAAGCGATTAATTCCTCAACATACCGGCCCCCCTGAACGAATGTTCAGTTAAAGGGAAGCACAGCAATTTTGGTGATAGGTCTCTTGTACACTCCTGGGCAGTTTTTACGGTGACCACTCGAACTCTCTCGTCTTGACCAGGATGAACTTCGGTGATGCGGCCAAGCAGCCACTTGCTAGGAGGTTGATTCGGCTCCTTCAGTACCACAAGCGTATCCACTGTTATGTTGTTGGTCTCCTGCTGCCAGTTGGTGCGCGACTGCAAGGAAGAAAGGTATTCAAGATTCCAACGTTTCCAGAACCCTTGAACCTTGGCTTGCAGCTGTCTCCAACGCTGCAGTCTGTTAATGTTCACTTCCAAGAACGATGGCTCTGGCACCGACATATGAGGTTGACCTGTAAGAAAATGAGCGGGGGTAAGGGGATCCAGGCTGTGATCGCTGGGAGCGCACAGTGGGCGAGAGTTTAGTAGACCCTCAATCTGGGTTAAAACGGTGGAATATTCTTCGAAAGTTAATGCACTGCTCCCAATTACTCGGCGAAGGTGAAGTTTAATTGATCGTACGCCAGTCTCCCAAATACCTCCAAAATGCGGGGCAGACTGCGGAATGAAGTGCCAGTTGATTTCCTGACTCGTCAGAAAACTTGCAATGTCCTCATCTTGACTTTGAGATACAGCCATCCGTTGCATTTCCGTTAATTCCCGTCTGGCTCCGTGGAATGTTGTGCCATTGTCTGAGTATAAGTCGGATATAGGGCCACGTCGAGACCAGAATCGTTTGAAAGCGATGTCTTGATAATAACTGGTCCAGCGTAATCCAATCCAGAATGCAGAAAACAGCGGGTGGGCTGAACCCGAAAAGCGGGAAGATCAGCCATGAGTTGTGTGCTCGTACCTTTACGCTGGAGGAAACAAATCTTGCAGTTGAATACGATTTTCCGGACTATGTTGCGGGCACCGAGAATCCAATACTTCTGTCTCAAAGTGTGGAACATAAATTCAACTCCAGCGTGTAGCGATGTGACGTGCTGGTGTCTAGCTAATAAAACAGCGACTGGTGATTCCTTTGGTAGAAGTATGGGATGTTTTGCCTCGTAAGTTGCCATTGAATTGTCAATGCGTCCTCCTACGCGCATTGTTCCTTGGTCGTCAATAAATGGAGTGTAGCGAATCAGTTTGGATTTTTGAGAAAGTGGTCGTCCAGTGCTTAGCTGCTTGTACTCCACTTGGAAGAACTCCATCTGAACGTGTTTGATTATCCTAGAGCGTGCATATTGAAGCTCCCATGATGATAAAAACGATGACAGGCGTTCCTTGCAGCGAAGACGGTGTACAAAACGAAAGCAGTAGCTTATTGTCCGCAAGAGATGTGACCAGGAGGAAGCCTTGTTAATCATACATTGAAGATCATTTCCTTCATCGGAAATGTGTAGATTAACTTGAGGCATGACCTTAACTTCCATGTGCGCAGCCTCCTCAGTCGACAGTGCAAACTTTGCCTTAGCAGGTGGCCAAGTGAGCCGAGATTGTGAAAGCCACGGTGGTCCATTCCACCACAGTTGATGGTCTACAAGATCCCTCGGTAAAAGTCCGCGTGATGCACAGTCCGCGGGATTATCCCCAGTGCGAATGTGATTCCAGCAACTACGTGGACAAGCATCTAGAATCTCAGCAGTCCGATTGCAAACATAAGTGTTCCAAGTCCGAGGGGGCGATGAGAGCCAATGCAGCACAACTTCTGAGTCAGACCAACATGAGGTACTGGAAATAGGAATAGTTAGTGCTTGCTTAACCAGAGACATCAATTTTGAAAGAAGATGGGCTGCATTCAATTCGAGCCGCGGAATGGATACAGGTTTGATGGGCGCAACACGGGTTTTTGCGGCGATCAGTCTGACAACATAGTCTTATTGAGTTTCACGCGACTGTAAATAACAGCGGCGTATGCATGAGAAGATGCATCGGCAAATCCATGCAGCTCCGCTGCTTGAAGTGGTGAGGATATGTAGCGAGATATGCGACACGTTTCCAATAAATGAACTTCTGCTACAAACTGTTGCCAACGTGAACATAACTGCACCGGTAGTGGCTCGTTCCATTCGACCGAGCTCAGCCAACTATCTTGAAAGAATCCTTCAGAAATACAGTACTGGGGGCAAGCAAACCCAAGGGATCGTAGATATGGCAAGCTCCGACAGCAAAATCCGTTTTGTCAGAGCAGTTGTGGCGTCGGGAATGGTCAGTTTGAAGGAAAGATTGTCAGCAGCCGGGTCCCAACCTATTCCAAGAACCTTCACATGTTGAGCTGGGCTCTCTTCTTCTAGAGCTTCAAGGGGTACTCACAAATGTCCTTTGGCAGCGATTGTAGTAGTGGCCAACAGTTTGAGCTCCACTTTCAAAGTTTAAATTGAGCTCGACTCAATAACAAAATCAATTCATCCTTGAGTGCAATGAGTTCGTTGATATTATCGCATCCCGTAGGAATATCATCCACGTACGCGTCCCTTACCAACACCGCAGCAGCATTCGGATACAACTCGGCATGATCTTGAGCGATTTGCTTGAGAACTCTTAACAGCCAGAAACGGTGAAGACGCTAAACCATAAGTCACGGTCAGAAGTCGGTAATGATCAAGTGTAGCAGTCTCCTCCTTCGCCAGAAAATACGTTGGTACTGCGTGTGTTCTTCTGAAACTAGGATGCCTCTAAACATTTTCTCAATGTCTGTACAGAACACATAACGATGCTGTCGGAACCGTAAACAGACTCCAAGTAAATCCCTTTGAATAGGTGGTCCAATGTGTAGTCGTGAATTGAGTGAATATCCCTTGCAGTCCTCCCCAGAGCCATCAAACACAACTCGGCATCTCGTAGTGGTGCTGTCTGGTTTAAATACTGCGTGGTGTGCTAAATAATTGTGACTGGCGAGATCCTCGGGTAAGGTAGTAGGAGGAATCAACTCCATGTGTCCTCGTTGTAAGTAATCCTCCATAAAGTCGACATTGTTGTTTGAGTGCCGGAAACTTTCGAAATTTCCGTTCGAGAGAAGAAAGCGGCGTATGGCTTGCGGCAATGTGGATCCCCATCGGCGGACGGAATCCTTGAATGGATATCGGACGACGTAAACTCCATCGTCTCTGCGGGAATGCGTTTGAACGAAGTGTTGTTCAGCGGGATCACTAGCGTCAATGGTAGCGCTACTTGGTTGAACTTGGTCCATGTCCATGAACGATCGGACTAAAGTATCCAGACCCTCGTGAGCATGATGAGCTAGTGCGTGGGTGTAATCATCAATACCGATATGGTAACTGCCTGTAATGACCCAACCAAATTTAGTATGAAGTGCAATAGGATATGCGAAACCAAACTCTTTGCGTTCTCCAGTGTATATGTTCCAAAGTTGATCAGCTCCTAAAATCAGGTCGATTTCACCTGGTGTCCCAAATGTAGGGTCTGCTAAGGGTAGCTCAAAAATCTTTCCCCACATTGGGGTGTTCGACTCAATCCTCTGTGCTGGAATCGAGGATGTTAAAGTACTCATAATCAGACCTGTTACCACTACGGATGTTGTGCTTGTGCGCGAGAGCAGCGTGAACGTGGCGCGACCTCGAGTAACGCCAGCCGGGCTTGCACCTAGGCCAACAACTGGTATACGAGCATGCGTGCGCGACAGCCCTATCCGTTGAATAAACGACTCGGAGACCATCGTTATCGTCGAACCAGTATCCATCAAGATCCTGCAGGTTGTCTCATTGCCCCAGGAGTCGACTATAGTGGCTAAAATTGTTGGCAATATAGCTTGACTAGTGGCCAATACTCCTCTCTCCAATGTATGATGGCTGACCACGGCAGGATCAACCTCAGCAGCATGCATGGGCGAGCACAAGTTTGGGTCAGCGGATGTATTGACAGCAACACTCGGGGTGGTGCGAATCTCTTCTGGATGGACAAGAGTGTGGTGCCTCGACTTGCACAGACGGCACGTATTTGTGGAATTACAATCCTTTACTTGATGAGATCGACTTAGGCAGTTGAAGCACAACTTACCCTCCATTGCAAATGTGCGACGATCCACGACGTTCATAGCTTTAAATTGAGTGCACACATACAGACTGTGTGGCCCGTGACAATATACGCAACCACGAGCAGATGTAGTTGGCACGTCCACATGATGAGAAACTGCACGACGTTTGGGAGAATCATGAACTACTGTTAACTCTTGACAGGACTCCAGCGCATCAAACCGGGCGAAGAGAAAGGCGAACAGGTCATTTATGGTCACATTTTCCTTGCACGATTCACTGGACGTAGCCCAAGCTTCCTTGCATTCAGGGTCTAATTTTGAGAGCAAGATATGGATAAGCCATACATCGCGGCTGTCGCATTTCAGCGCGTGTAGACCACGTATACTCCCGTCCGCGGTGTCGACTATGTTACGCAACTCGATTATGTTTGAACTTTTTGCAGTTGGCAGCGAAAGAAAGTTTTGAATGAACGACCGCGCAATCAGTGATTTTTTATTATAACGATTTTTTAGCCTCTCCCATGCGTCCTGGTAATTATCGTCAGTAATGGGAATATGTTTAATCAGGGACAAAGCTTCACCATCTAGATACGACTTTAAATAATGGAACTTTTGACAGTTGGAAAGACTACTCTTCTTGTCGACTGAGCCTAAGAACAGATCACTAAACTGACACCAATCTTCGTATCTTCCAGAAAATGTAGGAAGGCGTATTTTTTTCGAACTGCAGCTCAGCGGGTCGCGCTGACTCCCGAATCTTCTCCAAAAGTTGTGTTTGTCCCTCAAATAGGCGTTCCACAGTACTAGATATCAGTAGATTTGACGAGTCGTGTCCATTATCGTGACTGCTCCGCTCACTTATGGCTCCAGTGGAGAACGGCATGGGCACTATAAAACTTTCCCTCATATTCGGCGATATCCAAATTCGGATCCACAAATCCGTCTTCCTCATTGTATTGAACTAAGTCCTCAGAGAGCTCCATAAAGCGGTTGAAAGTTGCAGCCAATCGGTCCAACTTGTGTTCTAATGTTTGCACAGACGTGCACGACTGTACAAACTTCTGAGCCTCCGTAGATGCACGAGTTAGTTGGGATTTGCACGCACCACGCTGCTGAATTATGCGATGTACGAGAGTCTTCATGACGGCCAGCAATATCACTCAATATATTTCAAATAAAATTAGCCGGAGATCCGGCTCGAAGGACCAAAAATTTCTTATGGTTGCGAATGAGTGGACTGTATTAATCTTTATGTATTTTTATTTGATTCATATGTAATATTAGTGGTTTAAATGTTATTTGCACAGCGGGTTATATACAAAGCGGGGGTGACAATAGCGGTGCGATGATGAATACGCGTGCGGGTACTCTCAAGTATAGTTTGGTACTGACTCAACTCCACCAATAAAGTCGAGCCCAAAAGGGAATTAGAAGATCACGCGATGCGACACTCCAATACCAAGACGGTGCACATCGATGTCTTCGTGTGCAGCTGCGCGTTTTGGCTATACGCGTGAGAATGTTACAGTTAAGTTTTTGGACATAAGCAATAAGAACAGCGGGCAAACAATCGCGAGCATATGATTAGGGCAACTCTTATATGAATGAATATTGACTTAAAACTAAGCGATTAATTCCTCAACAATCCTTTTGCCTTTTTCCTTGCCCCATACATCAAACAGCTCCGCGTTTGAAAACTCGAAGTCCCTTGCAAAAAATTAATTTGAGCAGATAGTGCGGAAAAGTGCGTATTGAGACAAACTGCCTTTAAATCAAAATTAATAGCTCTACGACATACTATTGGACGTACACTTATGGACCCTTATGTTCGTTTTATATGTCTCGAAGAACTTGGAATATATTTCCAAGAAATGTGCTTTGAGAACGTGTACTACTTTTACAAACTATTAATAGAACACGCACAACTACAAATTACACTAGTCAACACTAGAATTAGGCTGTGGCCCAAAATTTAGATTCTTATAGATTTCGGGGATTAAAATTTTTTAACGAATTATGGTTTTTATACCCGTACTCAAAAAGAGTTAAGGGGTATATTAGATTTGTGGTAAAAGTGGATGTGTGTAACGCAGAGAAGGAAACGTTTCCGACCCCATAAAGTATATATATTCTTGATCAGCATCAATAGCCGAGTCGATAGAGCCATGTCTGTCTGTCCGTCTGTCCGTCTGTCCGTCTGTCCGTCTGTCTGTCTTGTTGAGCGCCTAGATCTCAGAGACTATAAGAGCTAGGGCAACCAAATTTGGTTTCCAGACTCATGTGATATCCCACTGCTACAAGTGTATTTCAAAATTTCGCCCCGCCCCCTTCCGCACCCATAAAAAACGAAAATCTGTGGCAGCCACAATTTTAAAGATACGATAAAACTAAAAACGCAGTATCGTAGAGAATGACCATATCTACCAGATTGCCGAATCTGAATCAGATCGGATCATAATTATAGTCAGAATGAAGAAATTAATTTTCAGTTGCTTCCCCTCCCCCTCCCGACGAGACAACAGAACTCATTTTCCTTCTCGCTCGCACACTCTGCCGCGTTCAGTGCGCGAGCAACCCCTAGCGGAGGAGATGTAGAATCTAATTGGAACATGTAAAATCTACATGTTAGATGTATAATATACATTGTATATGTAGATGTAGATATCATATGTAGCAAAAAAATGTAAAATGTAAAATTTTTTTATACCCGTACTCAAAAAAGAGTTAAGGGGTATATTAGATTTGTGGTAAAAGTGGATGTGTGCAACGCAAAGAAGGAAACGTTTCCGTCCCCATAAAGTATATATGTTCTTGATCAGCATCAATAGCCGAGTCGATAGAGCCATGTCTGTCTGTCCGTCTGTCCGTCTGACCGTCTGACCGTCTGTCCGTCTGTCTGTCTTGTTGAGCGCCTAGATCTCAGAGACTATAAGAGCTAGGGCAACCAAATTTTGTTTCCAGACTGATGTGATATCCCACTGCTACAAGTGTATTTCAAAATTTCGACCCGCCCCCTTCCGCCCCCATAAAGAACGAAAATCTGTGCCAGGCACATTTTTAAAGATACGATAAAACTAAAAACGCATTATCGTAGAGAATGCCCATATCTACCAGACTGCCGAATCTGAATCAGATCGGATCATAATTATAGCCAGAATGAAGAAATTAATTTTCAGATGCTTCCCCTGCCCACTCCAGACGACGACAACACAACTCATTTTCCATCTCGCTCGCACACTGTGCCGCGTTCAGTGCGCGAGCAACCCCTAGCGGAGGAGATGTAGAATCTAAATGGTACATGTATAATCTACATGTTAGATGTAGAATATACCTAATATATGTAGATGTAGATAACAGATGTAGCAAAAAAATGTAAAATGTAAAATTATTTTTTTTAATGCTAAAACTCTAAAATATTATATGTTCAAAAATGTAAATACTGACTGAGTACGGGTAAAAGGGAGAGTCGCGTCTTTAGAAGCGACTCACACTTTCCTTCTTGTTTTTTTATGGTGTAGTTTTTTTTAAAGAGTTTTTTATATCTGGTTTGCATAGAACTTTGCAGTTCTGAAAAGCTGACAAACGCAGCTATAAATCCGACCTAGACTTTTTGTATTTGCAGCTTAACGCCTGGAAGTCAAAATTTTGACTTTAAAAACTGGGAAAAGTCTTGGCATGCATTTTTAGTTTTAGATGACGCATTAATTAGTCGTCGTTTAAAGTATTGTTCATTAAAATTATGGAGAAACAGTGGAGCTAAAATTCGTTAACCAAACCTCAAAAGTGAAAAAATAGACAAAAAATACTTTTTGGAATGTTGCGGGCCCAACTGCCAATTGGAAACAAAGCAAACGAACAGGGGTTGAATTTTTGGTAAAAAGTATTTTTTGTCTATTTTTTCACTTTTGAGGTTTGGTTAACGAATTTTAGCTCCACCGTTTATCCATAGATTTTAATGAACAACCTTAAACGACGCCCAATTATTAGAATTTATTGTCGCAGAATATCCACGGATGTTTATTTAATTCTTTGATTTGTTCCGCAGGTCAAATGTTAGTACTCTCTCAATTTCGTTCAGCCAGGAAGTGACTCTGTCTCCCTCGCTCCGATCTCTCCTTTAGTCCATCGATACTTTTACGACCAAGACGATATTTTTCGCAAGGTGCAAGAGTCGATATTATGTGGGTTAAAAATACTAGTGATATTCCCTCTCTGACCTAATTCCACATAGTTCTAGTTCGCAGAACTAGAACTATCGAAACTTATTACGATATTTTATACAAGGTGCAAGATTAAATGTAAATACAATTGTAGGTTAACGATAATAATAGTAATACAATCTAACAGCTCGGCCATCCTGACAATTAGATCGTCCTCGATCGTGAGTTTGTAATTAAGGTTAATTGTAATTATATGTGTATATATATAAAATGTTAACTACTTAGGTTATTTTCACACTGATTACGCCAATCGGCCCATTTCCTCAACCGGCATGCCTCTACAACACCGTCATACGGGATTTGACTTATCTGGCAATTTTCAATGTCGTTTAACACGTATCTGTCATTCGGCAATACCTTCCTGACGATATACGGATCCCTGTATTTTGGAACAAATTTTTTATTTGTACCGATTGTGGTATCAATGTTTCTCATTACAACGAAATCTCCCTCTAAGAACTCAATGTGGTTTTTGTGCTTCCTTTCAAAATACTCTTCACTCTTCTGCTGACTATGCTCAATTTTATCTAAAGATTTCTTACGTATTGATTCTAAATCACCTTGCGGTTGGTCTTGCTTGTCATCTAAATATTCTGTCAACGCGTCAATATTACAACCCCTTTGCTGAACTCCAAATAACAAAACTGTGGGCAATTCTTTCGTGGTCGAGTGCACTGAGTTGTTAGTTGCAAATTCTGCCTTTATCAAGAGTTTACTCCAATCTTCGTGATTTATTGGCTCAGTTATTTTGGCCAACATAACTTTTATGGTTCTGTTTACCCGTTCTACCTGACCATTCGCTTGAGGTGACGCAGTTGCTACTTTCACATGTTCTATATTATTTTCTAACAGAAATTTACTAAATTCTAATGATGTAAAACATGATCCTCTATCACTTATAATTCTACGTGGACGACTATAGAATTGAAAATACTTTAAAAAACAACTGTTGACTTCTTTCGTGCTTGTCGTATTTACAGAAAACAATTTTACAAATTTCGTAAACGCGTCAATGATGACTAGCACATGCTTTTTCTTTGATATAATAGCGGGAAGTGGTCCAAAATGATCTACGTGTAATGTATCAAATGGGATTGGTCGCTTAGGAATATTGTGAAGTGTTCGGTTGTTTGCGTGTGTGGGCACTGAAAACATTATGCAATTTAAGCAGTTTCCTATAAATGAATCAATTTTAGATCTCATATTCGGAAACCAATAGTGCCTTAGGATTTCTTTCATATATTTTTCAGTTCCTAAATGACATAACTTCTCGTGAACTCTTCTGATTATGTGCGTTTTCATTTCAGCTGGGACATAAAATAATTCGACGTCATTCTCATTTAATCTATACACAATTCCATCACTCAAAGAAAATTTCTTAACAGGTCCATGTTCCAATTGTTCTTTCAATTTCTCTATATAGTTGTCTCTGTTTTGTGTTATCTGAAGCTGAAGACTAATGTCATCAATGTCAATTACGGAAACTATTCGGTCTTTGTTATCACTTTCATGAATTGTAACTACTGGCTCATATTCAAAATCTTGATTAAGCGCTGAAGGATATCTACTAAGCGTGTCAACATGGGCCATATATTTTCCACTGCGATGTTTCAGAGTGTAATTATAATTAGCTAACTCCATGGCCCATCTGGCAATACTTGAATTAAAGCGTCCTTTTCCTAAACATAAGACTACTGCGTTACAATCCGTTATAATTTTGAACGGAATTCCT